ATCGGTCCACATGAAATACAACAACTATACACACATATTTCTAAAATGTTGATCATTTATTGAGTTTCTGGATCCCAAAAAATACTAATTTATTCATATTATGTTATTTAAAAAGTAACTGATGAGTCCAAGACAGTTTCAGTCATATAGTTAGACTTAAAAGTTCTTTCCGAATAATTATCGTTCTTTGTTTTGGAGTCTGAGAAACGATTAGTCCATACTCCAAAGAACAGATTTCCAATGTTTTATGCACTTCCGAATTGAATACCGGTTCTTTTCATATTTTAACGGTAATTTTTACCTACACATTAAAAATACTGTAAATACCCGAAAATGTAATAAATTGACTATGCGAATAAGTCATAATAATATTATTATAAGCGAGAAGCTTATGCAAATAAAATTTACCGTTCGCAAAATGCCTATACACTATAGCATTATGATAATTGCCATGTACTATGCGGTAATAGCATCGATAAGTATGCATACCTAAATAAACTTTATAATCGCTCGATGCGATATTTGATAAAAATGCAGTATAGAAGAATACGTAATATAACGTACATAATAATTATGCACAATATAAATACTGTTCATACGAGAGAAGTATTAATTTTTTCGCATTAATCTGATTTTGAAAACCGTACAATATACGTAGGTATATAATATAATATATTATATTATTATTATTATTACAGTTATAAACCGCAAATGCCAGTTGTGTGTCTGCTTAAGACGTCTCGTCCTGCAGCGAGTTTATACATTATCCGTCTCGGATATTATATTGATGCAATGACGCTATATAATATACGAGTCGAGTTAACTATATACAAATAGCGTGTCTCGCATTCTAACTTTAAATTGATAAATCTCTGCGGGACAACCGCCCGTATTATAATGTATTATGATAATTATTTTATATACCGCGCTACAGTCGTGCAGTGGCGTAATATTCGCGAGGCGGCAGTGTTATGGGAATAATGTGACACCCTCCATTCAGCGTATAGAGTACCTATATAATAATATTATCGTATAAAATATATATGTGTATGCCTTCTTCTTCTTCTTCTTCTTCTCCTACGCCTACGCCCCAACTGTTTGGAGTTGGTCACCCTCGGGCTGAACTTCCACTTGACCCGATCTCACACCTTGCATACGCCGGCTGTCCTCATATCTTTCTCAATCGCATCCAACCACCTCTTTTTTCAGTTTTCCTCTCCGCCTAGTTCCTCTTACGTTTGTTTTCATCATAACAATGTTTACTGCTTCAGATTCCTCTCTCCACGTGACATGCCCAAACCATCTCAGTCTGTTTTCCCTCATTCTGTCTACTATCGAAGCCACGCCTTAGCTACCTCTTATGTTTTCATCCTTTATCTTATCTTCTCTCGTCACTTTAATCATCGACCTTAGCATTCTTATCTGTGCTACATAAAATATGCCTAATTTTTTTTTTATTTTTTTTTTTTTCGAGCATTATTGTTATCGCGTGTTTAGAGGCGTAAGCTGCTTCAACATTATCATTGTTGAAGACAAACTATGTTATGACAACCAACTGATAACTCAGATAACTCCACATTAGTAGGTAGATATAGGTTTCGTTTGGTATTCAAGTTACAATGTTTTAAAAGTTTTGGTACCAAAAATCAGTATAAATCTGAAAAATTATCAACGGTTTTTTTTTTTTGTTTTATTATTACACCAAAACAATTTCCAAAAATGTAGTTACCTGGTTGTCGCTCCAAAGTTTTCAATCATAAACATACTATAATAATAATAATAATAATAGTATAGTTATAGAGTTACTATTTTAGATTCTAAGCGTTGCAGGAAAGTTATTGGTTTTACATTAGTTCTCGAAAAATAAATCAATAATAATATTAACTGTTCGGTTTTTATGTGATCATTATACACAGGGTATATTAGGTTCGGGATTCGCATTGAAGGTACAGCAGAAACAACGGCAAAAGCATTTCAACCGACAGATACCTGCGGCTGCAATGCTAATACAATGTCTTTGGAGGTGTTACGCCGCGGATAAATGTTTCAACAGTCAGGCTACTTGGGACATTTACATCAAAGAACCGGGTCACCCGAAAGACAACTCGTCGTTGAGTAAAGTCAGTATCTGCCTACCTATATAGTAGTTCGGAAAGTTTGAAATCAATAGTATTGCAATCGAAATAATGTTCTTTAACCGTTATATTATAGTCGTTGATTATGCAAGTGGCAAAGCGCGCCAGTGTCTTGAAGCGAAAAAGATCAAAAAGTAAAATGGACCCACCGGGAGGGTCCACGGCGAATAATAATAGGGATTGCCCGCAAGCTCAAACCTTACCCCCACCGCCGAGTTCTAGAAGGGACAGCGATGGTGAAGTAGTTTTTTATATAGAAGAACCTAAAGCAAGTATGTTCCTAAATTCTTTGTACGCCGTTGTTCTATAACTATAGATATAACGTTATCAGCTAGTATAATTTTGTTTTTACGTTTTCCATCATTTATTTTTAGCCACTCCAAATCGTGTTAGAAGAGAAGCTAGAGGATATGTTAGTCAGACGAGTTCCGTAACAGAAGCAGCCAGCGATGAAGTCGACTTAGAAATGGAACCAGAACGAGTAACCACGTAAGTTTCGAATCAAAAAAAACATGGTCAAATAATTATATACCTACCTAATTCAAGAATACGTTTTCCATTACTATTAAAATCCCGATACTAGGGATGGATGTGCCACTGTTGTAGGTGGAAAGTTGGAATGGTAGAATACATAAAGTTATTTAATTTATATCTTTAAAAAACAGTAAACAATTTCTAATGAAAAACTATTCGGAGCCATGTCGTAACTAGAAAACCAATGACCTAGATGCAAACGAATGTATATGGGCCCCTCTTTCTTAAGCATCATAAAATTAATACATAAAAAAATGGACCTACTTCACATCATGGGTATTCTTCACTCCTTAGATAGGATCCTCATGGTGAATGTATTGAATTTTAAAGAATCAATACATAATTTTCTCATTGAAACAATGCTTTGTAAACCTTCAATGTAATACAGAATCACAATTTTATATTGAGTAAATTTTGTTAATAAAAACTTGTGAAATTAACTCTGTGGCTTGATGCAAGAAGAGCCAATGTTAATTTTACAAATATGTATTTACGCCTAAAATCATTATTAATTGCAGGTTAACTGATGTACACAAAAACGCTATTCGAGCCATTAGAAAGATAAAATATTTTGTAGCGAGAAGAAAATTTCAACAAGCTAGAAAGCCATATGATGTTCGTGACGTTATTGAACAATATAGTCAAGGCCATTTGAACATGATGGTTCGAATAAAGGTAAAATCGTGTTTAAAAATATAAAGTTATAATAGGTGACATTTTACTAGACTACGTACTATACATATATTGTTTGGCATTTTTCTATGTATGCTATATCATGAAAGAAAAACGATCCGTAGACCATAAGCTATCCAGCCAAATTATTATAAGTTTAATTAAAATTTTATAGTTAATGTATTTTGCAAACTAAAAAAAAATTAAATGTATAAATTCGATTTCAATCTTGGTGATCAACTTTTTTTTAAATTCAATTTTGAATTGATCAACATTATATTGAACAAGCTGCTCGATATCAAATTAATAAGTTAGGTAATTTTATGTCGTTAATACAATTTATGTCCAATAATAATCTTACGATTCTCAATAGTACTTATGCTATTGGGACTATTATTGGCTATTAGATCAAAATATTTAACTCGGTCATTTTATAGTATAAATAGTAAAATCCAATACCTTGATAAATACAATAAAGCTATTGCATTAATAGTTTTACGTAACTAAACTGTTCTTCTTAGATCAAATTAATTTATTATTTTTAACAATAAATAATTTAAATTGTCGTTTTGTATTTACCTATATAAAAAGCCAAACAACAAATACAGACCCTAGGATATATGTAATATTTTCATATTTATAAATAATTGTTATTGTTCCAGGAATTGCAAAGGAGGTTAGATCAAACACTTGGCAAGCCAGGTAGCTACTTGGCAGGTATTGACAGGGCAGGCAATGTTAAGCCTATGACAATTGGTGCTCGTTTGTATAGGCTAGAACAACAGGTAAAAGCAATAAAAAAAAAAAAAACACCTGAACCTATAGTATATAATCGATTATATTTATTGTCACCAGAACTTGATGCATAACATTTTTATTTTATTAGTTATCTATTATGGATAAGAAGCTGGACCAGTTGGTGTACCTTTTAAACGTCCAGACGCACAGACAACAGTTTCCGGCTTTAGAAGAACAAGTTTAAAATCTCTAAAAGACTATCAACACGTCTCCTTTATCATAGTTTATTCGACCAATATTTTTATTTTATTATAAGGAACAAACGCTTCTAAGAGTCACGCAAAATTAATTTTTACACATATCTGTTCGACTTTCAAGCGCTTTATCCGGTAACTATAATATATCCTTTCGATGACGTGGACCACATTATTGGTTGTTGTATGACAAAAACTATAATAATAATATTAGATGAAAAAAAAAAAAATATTTTTTTGAGAACCCTTGTCTGGAGTATTCTTATAACAGAAGTTAATTTTAGGCTAATGCACAATAAATTTAATTTAATATAAAATTATATAATTATCGTTAAAAAAATCTAAAACACTATTTTTCTATGTCTATTTAATTATAAAAAAACGTACTTGAATTAATAATATTATAATAATACATTTAATTATTCTAACAATACAATGTTAAATGCTTTTCAGAAATTTAGTGTACGTCACTTAATTCTTATAAACACTGAAATAATTTGAACTTTGTGGATAATAGTATTTTTGTCATTATTATTATTATGTTTTTATTATTATTATTATTATTATTATTATTATTATTATTATTAGTATTATTATTATTATTATTATTATTATTATTATCATTATTATTATCATTATTATTATCATTATTATTATCATTATTATTGTTTTATTTATTTTATTTTTTTTTTTTTTATAACGACTGGTAATAAATTCTATTAGGCTTAATGAATTCGAATTTTATTAATTTTTAGGGTTAAATGAATATATTGTAGTCGGTAAAACAAATTGAGCTTATAGATATTAGGTACATAGTTTTAATCAATTAACGTGTTATTTATTAAAACAAATATTTATTATGTGATGAAATTTAAGCATTCTTTACAAATGTGTTTGATAGTAATTCAAAAAGCAATAATTATTATGTACTTAGTGTTCAAGCGACTAACAATAACAATTAACAATAAGAAGTTCGAAATCTAGTCAACTTTTTTTACTTAATTATTATTTTATTTTTTCTTACGGTTTTGTTTTAAAATAAATAACTTTCAGAAACTTATTATTTTTTAAGTGTTGTTATTATAATTTGTAAACAGTCTTTCCAAAAAATCTCCTGGTGCACACAGTGACCAATGTTAGTTTGCAAATTAAACAATCAAGAATAAGACTAAAACATATTATTTTTCATAATAGAATACTTACGTTTATTTTTTTTTCTATTATTATTATTGTTATTATTATTATTGGGACCAATAACCTCCATTAAAAAAAACATAATATCAAAAAATATTCTAAAAAAAAAATTAAAAAAATTAAAATTAAAAAAAAATATATATAGAATTGGATGTATGTTGGTAATTTATGGCCTCGTCTCATTGGATCATCAATAACGACAAATAATCAAATACATTTAACAATAAATCATTATTAGTCCGTTTATAATCTAATAGGCCGATGGAAAATATTTTTATTACTTATCTACCTAAAAACATTACTTTAGTAAATTATTTGGTTAAAAGAAAATAAATAGGTAACATGTTTACATATTAAAAATTGATAAGTTCCAAATTAATTTTCCAAGAGTACCTGCTTTATTTCATTTTCATTTTCTGTTACATTTAAAAATGTTTTTTAGATTCTGAATTGAAACAAAATAAAAATTATGTTTACCTAAATTTAAAATGACGCGAGTTCCGACGAACATTGTCACAATTTCGGGGTCACGTTAACAAAAAACAAAAATGCAAAAAAAAATTAAATAGTTACCTATCGATCTCTTTTCAATAAAAATTAAAAATTTGTATTGCCTACAAATTCAGTAGGTATTTCTGTTCTTTTATTAAATTTTAAAATGATATTTCGCTCAGTTTTTAGTAGATAATTAGATAATAATGTTTATAATTATAATTCTGTTAACAACCGTGCGCTTAGAACAAACGAATTCCAACCAACGAAATACGGTCGAGTCTAATAATTCACATCACGTTCTCCGTGGGTATGCTAAGCGAAACAACATTAACAAAACTATTAAGCACGGACCGGACGATTAACGGGGTTTCTTCGGTATTGTTATTAAGAGCACAATGATCGTCAAAAGTATACCTACAACGTGCGGTATAACATTTGACTAGATGTAATGTGTAATCGATTTTCCGCAATATACACAAATCTCATACATTAGCACGTTAAAATTGTCGTACACAAAACGAAACCTTTTCAAAACATCAGACACGTAAACTGCTAGAATTTTTTTGTCCAACAATTTCCTGTACAGAAGAAAAAACCGTTTATTAGCGGTTTTATTTATCAAATTTTTTCATGTAAGAGTTTGTACCATTGTAAAAAAAAAAAAACAAAATAGATAGTTGGCATTAATTATTTTACTCTGCGTTGACCGTGATATCGATTGGCCAACGACGACGGTTTACGTTTTTTTTTTTTTTTTCAATTTTATATTATTCGACAATATCACGATTCTTGACTAAATAATCCTCTTGTACGATGTATCATTATAATATACGCAATTCTAAAAACGATCCGCCGTTTAAGACCGTTTGGATAATCTACGTGTCGATTTTTTTTTTTTTTTTTTTCAAACTCAAAGTTCCCGTTCGTAAAACCGTAGGTCAGTTCATGTTTATATCGTTTGTCACCCCGTGGGTTTGTTCGTTTTTGTTTCCTCCATTCCACCCATCCGCCGCCCAAAACGCACTAATTTCAGGTTAAACGTTTGTGACGCACGTTTGTGCATTTTCACATCGCCCAGCTAAACGTAGTTTCTCAATAATATTTACCTGCGCGTAAAACTCATGACACAGTAGACAGTATTGGATTTATTATGAATCGACCAACAACGTTGACGTATTTATAAACATGTATTTACTTATTTTATTTTTATTTTTTTCAATGTAAAACAATCTTTTATTAACGTGGGTCTAAATATTAAGTGCCTTTTAAACGCAAATTTAAATTAAATTAACCATCAGTTTGTTGTTGTTCAATAACCCGACGGTATTGATTCTTGTTTTTCCGCGTGTTCGTCTTTCTCGGATAACGTTTTCGGTAGGTTTTAATTCGCTGTCTATCGCGACAACGGCGTATTTTTTAACGTATTATTATATTGCATTATATACCACGTCGTCGCGGGAAAGTTTAATTTTGTAAAATAACAATAATAATAAAAAACAAAAAAAAAAAAAAAAAAAAAAAAAAAAAATGGTTTCTTTTAAAAAACTACCCATCGATTAACGGTTTTTTTTTTTTTTTTAGACGATGGGCGGCGTATAATTATATAGCGGTTATACCTTGTCCGTAGGCCGAAAAACTCATGTAACAATAAAGTTCTATAATATTTTCAAAATGTATTGACGAATTTTCTCATTTTACAGGTATTAGATTTATTGATAAAAAAAAAAAAAAAACAAAAAAAACAAATTAAAATTGTAATAATACGATAATGTTACACCTATTATATTATTATTAAAGTCTTTAGGCCGGCGTGGTGTTGTTCCGTGCACGTCCGACTCGATAGTATTATGTTTGATAGAGTACGGCAAAAGCGTTTTTTTTTTTTTTCTGTCTTATTGCTATGATTTCATTTTTTTCTACGACGTTATAGATTATTACGTACAATCGTATTAGTCGCATTTGTTTTTTTTTTGTTATTTTGATACGAACACTTATATTTTATTTTTTCTGTTCTAAATTAGCCACCGATAATATTATTGTACATATTAGAAACGTCTACGACTGCAATACGTATTATATTATATTATTATAAAACATACATCACAAAACGTTGCTACTGTGATCGTTCATATTATGTGAAAACGTTGGTAATATTATTAAATAGTTTGCCCGTAATTTGTCGTACGATTAATAATGTTATTTATAATGTTGTTTAGCGTGTATTGCGTGTACTTGCGCATTCGACTCGGGACACAGAAAAAAAAAAAAAAAAATATATAAAAACCCAAATATAATATAATATATCGTCTAGAATATAAGATATCGCTTTATTTTCAGAGGAAACAAACGTCGAACTTGTATTATTATTATTATTATATTATACACTCTTATCATTATTTACATTATTTGTATTTTGTACATTCAATTCATTAATTTTAGGTACAATTTTTCGAGCTTTAGTCAATTTTTTTAATAATCTTGTTAAAAAATTATATATATATATATATATTATATACGAACAAAAACCAAATATTATATATTATTATATTTTCAGTCTTTGTACTTATTTACGTTTTAGAAACTATACAATAATTAATACTTTATATATATATATATATATATATATATATATACGTACGTACGAGAAATGTTTATTATATTATATTATTTTATAATGCATTACGAAAAACGGACGACATTTCAAATATTCTTATATTTACTATACGTATTATGTTATTATGTATTATTATTATTATTGTCTTTGTTTTCTGTATAATTTCGTTCGTTTCGTTTTTTCTTTTTTTTTTCTTTTCTGAAACGATATCATTTGTACGTTTTATTTACTTTACATTTATTATATTTATTATTAATTAGTTTTTAGTTGTATTATTAAAATACATTATTATAATATGAATTTTATTATTCTTTATATTAATTAAAAAAAAAAAAAAAAAAAAAAAAAAAGCTACAATACGCGTTTTTTTTTTTTTTTTCTGTTCTACGTACGCGTGACGTACACACACTCGATACGCTCGGGGCGTTTTTTGTAGGCGATTTTAATGGCGCGTTTTCGAAAAACGAAAATCGATCGACTCGAAACATGCACCGAGGTTCACTTAAAAACATGGTCGGCGTTTTGTGGCGTTGCGAGCGCAACACAACGCGTTTAAACGGTTCGGCAATCGATCGGAACGGTTAACGGACAACGTTATCGGCAAACGATAAACGGTCGACAACGGATAACCGAACGGTAAACATAAACAACGGGTTATAAAGGTGACGGAAATAACGTTTTGTCGCGTAATCGTTGTCGGGGGGGGGGGGCAAAAAAAAAAACAACAAAATCATCAAATTTATAACCGTCGGTGAAATACATTTGAATTTCGGAACGTGCGCGGTTATTTTCGTAAACCGTTGCTTGCCACAATAGTAACGACAATTGCCGCGGGAGTGCAATAACAGTTTTGTAATGCCCGCGCGTAGCCGGGGAACGGCCGCGTTCCGCGGAGAACGTTCGACGGTCCGCCGGTATTCCGCGTGACGACTGTACGACGACGACGATACGGATTATTGTTCGGATAATAGAGACGAGCAGGCAGAAAAAAAAAAACTATTGTCCGCCGTTTTAATTATCGAGCAAACGTTCCGAGCCGTCGTACGGCCGCGGTCGGAAAGTCGCGCGACCGAACGGAATCAAACGAACGGTTTCCGGGGGGGGGAGGCGATTTTTCTACGCGCCGCGCTCGACGGCACCAAAACAATTTCCAGACACGTACACGCGGTCGTATCGGGGCCTCCGTGCGGTTAGGTTGTAGGTATACTTGTACATCCATACGAGTGCGTTTTAAAATGTTATTAGTTTGTCGTTAAAAAAAAAAAAAAAAAAAAAAACCAAAAATATGTTTTAAAACTACTTGTTTTACAACGAGTAGAAGAAGAATAAACATGAAATGCACTCGGCCGGGGAAGCTGATGGATTTTCCGGTGTCCCGATTGAAAACGGTTTACGGCGAGACGAAACCGAATTCGGGGAATTTTTCAGATCGGGCTGGGATCGGTTCGATTACATATTGAACCTGGTTAGCTATTTCCGGGTCATACAAACGCGGACGTTCCCTTACGCATTCGGCCGATCGTATGTCTTCTACTACGGCGAACGGTACTTTTGATGAAGGCGTTTTGTGTCACACGGTGTTCGAAAAAAAAAAAATGGTCGAACTTTGAAAATAAAAAAAAAAAATCTGCTATCGACGAGCGCGGCGACCGGCGGTCATGGGAATCGGTCACGTTTGAAAACGGGTAAAGCGGTACGCGCGCGGCTATACGTAAATCGCGCCGCGTCGGCCGCGCGTCACTAGACGCGTGCATAGGAATCGCGCATTTGGCGTATTGTTTTCGCCGCGATACCGGTGCCGGCCGGCTCTACTCGACCGTCGACCGTTTCTCGGAAAAGGAGAGCGAGAGAAAAAAAAACCGAAAACTTTCGATATTTCGACGCGTGGGGTTTACCGTGGTTTTGTTTTTTTTTTCTTAATCGCCGTCGTCAATTTCCGTTCGACATTTTGGCGACACTGACTTTCCGCGACGCACCGAAACCGGACCGCGCGCTCCGTTCGGAAAATCGGAATAAGAAACGCGTGGCCGCCCGACGCCCGACGCCCGCCGGCCGGCGCAAGTGAAACGCGTCCGCACGCCGCCGGACCCCCTCCGCCGGTCCCCCTCCGCCGGACCCGCAACGGCCGGTCTGCCGGACTGCCGGACTGCCGTTGTTCGCGGCCGACAAACGGACGATTCCGGTTCGTTTCCATCTCCGTGTCATTCTGTCGGAACGGTCGGTGTACGGACGGCGCTTGGTTTTCTCGTCGATTTTTGCGCCGGCGATCAAAATAATTAACGCGTTACCGCCCGCCAAGTTGGAAGACTCTCGAGGGTTGAGAAAATCTCCAATCGGTCAACTGCGACGACGAAACCACAAAAACCGTAAGTGCCGAAACGTACGTGGTTGTGTACGACGTTTATATTTGTACCACGTGACGCGAGAAACCAAACGTTTTGGATTATTAAACGTTCAACGTTCCGACTGTGTTTTGCCGCCGGGTGACCTCCTCAGTCTCAACATTCGTCTCTCACCGAACCGCCCACTTATTGTACGAAACTGTAGATTATATTAAATTCCGAAAAAAAATCAAGAATGTCTAATGTTTTTGTAACGCGGTTTAAAGTCGGGTCTCGCACTCGAATCGAAACGTGCCGCGTTCGAGTAGCACGCCGGAACTGAACGCGCGTGCTCGGTTCTTCTATTCGAGTATAAGGCTGGTCTAATAATCAAAATCAGATAGGTATTCCATATGTATTTCCAAATCTTATGGTAAATGTGTACCCGAAACCTGTACTTTTTCATCCGCGTCTTTATTAAAGTTAATTTTTTTTAAAAAAAAAAAAAAAAGTCCTACGTATTTTTTAAATGTGACCGTATTCTATTTTTGATATTACTATGGTTTCACACTCTTACGATAAAAATACAACCCAAAAGCGGGTATCTCTTGGAGAATGTATATATTTAACGAAATAATAATTTTACCCATTTTATTATATTGTGTATAGATAAAAAGAACGTGTTTGTCGTTGTTGTCAATAAATAAAAAAGAAAGCCGATCCCAGGGACAGGTGCGGGGCTACTGTTATAGTTCGGGGAGGTAGGGTGTAGAGGGTAAGTTAACTTATGTCCGTATGCAACGATTATACATTGCGAATGAAAAATAGTTCTGAGCGGAACTCTGTCAATAGTATTGCTTTTCCAACAATGTGCGACGGTTACTTTAAAAGTTTTCATCAGAAAATTACCTTTCTAAAGTACCAACTAGGAGGCGGAACCATAATGCAACAAAAATGATTTCTTGTCGTGTTTTGATTGGAGCGAGATTTCAAAGAGAAAAATTATTGATAGACGCAAAAAGTAAAACAATACTCACTTGCTTCACTCAGAATCTAAAATCGTCATTGAATCTTTGATTTAATCACTATATTTTAAAAGCATATAAACTATAGGTTGTCATTGGTGTGGCCAATGTTTTAGGTGGGTAGTTGGGTAGCCAGGATGCGTGTAAGCAACAATAACCATTGCTAACGAATAACTTTTCTGAAAAAATCTAAATTAGAGAAATAATAAAAAATAAATATTTTAACAGTCAGTTAAGTAATAGTGAAAAATGTTTTCTATTTTCGAAAATAAGAGCCAACAAAGTGGCATGGATAATGGTAGGCGGTACAGCTAGTAAAATATATTAATATTCAAATTCTATTAAAATGTTAAACATTTTTGTTTGCAGTGTACATGTCTTATATTCGCTTTTATTTTAAAACTTGACTAAGTACTCGTAATTGGAAACGAAAATAAACCAATAGTTTTGATTAGAGTTCCATAAAATTAAAAAGGGGGAGAGAACTTTGTACTTAAACATGTGAGCTTAAGTAGGTATCTCATTGTGAAATAGTGTAATGGTTATGTTTTGTTATATTTGTTCAGTTTTTTTTATTTATATTTGTATTTTGTTTTTTTACAGGTAGAAAAATAAACCATGGTCCGTTCCAAACAGGTTGCTCGTAAGTCCACTTCTAAGAAATTGTCCATTGTTAAATTAAAATCAGATTTTGAGGAAAATGCTTGTACTGAAGCCAGTAAAATCATAAATAAAATTAGTAAAAAGACAAAGAACGGACGTCACCGTCCTGGAGTTATTGCACTAAAGGAAATACGAAAATATCAAAATTCAACAAATCTACTTATACGTAAATTGCCTTTCCAGCGTTTGGTCAGAGAAATTGCCCAGAACATAAAAAAGAAGCAATTGCAATTCCATTGCGCAAGCCTCGAAATATTACAGGTCAGTTCCTACATTTTATATATTTAATTATGCAGTCGCATGAATTTCATTACCTACCCAAGTTATACCTACTGTTGGTATTATTTTTACAAATCATTTGTTTTTTTGCAGGAGGCAAGCGAAGCATATATAATTGGTCTTTTTGAGGATACCAACTTATGCGCTATCCATGCTAAGCGTGTCACCATTATGCCCAAGGACATACAATTATCCATGAGGATAAGGGGCAAATAAAATAATATTTCAAACAAATACAGTATATATATTTATTTTGTTATGTATTATATATTATTGTAATTCCCTACATATCACATTTTTCATCCATCAAAATAATAACTTATAACTAAATATTAATGATTATCATGACCTAGGTACTTTAAATAAAATTATTCTTTGTTATCTACTTAATTTGTTTATATTTTTTAAAATTAATATTATAATTCCCTTGTCACTCTTGTGTACTATTCCAGTTTTTAAATGCAATAAAATAATAATGACCAAGTATTATTATCCATGTTTATTTTAAATTTTACTATATTCATTTTTGTTTGATAAAAATATTCGAAATAATCTGCATTATTTTTAAATACTATTAAAGTATTAATTGAATTAACTTACGACTAGTAATATATTTTGTAGTGTTCATAATAAACTAATTTACCATTTCATAATAGTTTAAAAAATATATTATTTCCTTTTAATTAAGTAATATAGTAGATCCTTGGCACATTGATAATATCACATAAAGTAAATACTATATATAAATTAATTTGTAAAATTACAACAATATCGACGGTAAAGTGAACCTTAAAGTAAAGTTTGCTTGGAGTTTTAATTCAATATATGTAACTAAAAGCATTTGACACAGTAACCCACGACAAACTTATTAAAATTTTAGACAATTTTGGAATTAAATGGAGCTGTTTGAAATGGATAATTAACCTACTTCAATAATAAAACAAATAGTAAATATAAATGGTATCTTAGTATATGAAAAAAAGATGTGTGGAATACCCTAGGGCAGTGTTCTTGGACCGATTTTTTTAATTTGTATTTAAACAGTATTTGTGATATTCTGTCTTTATTAAACGGAAAAATCATGGCATATACAAATGATACATGTTATTTTTTCAGACTACTCTTGAGACTCTGTACTTGGTAAAGCAATAAAAGAAACATGTACAAAATATTATGTCATTTTAATAAACGAAACTTATCACTTAATACTAAAAAAAACTATTTTTATGACATACTATAAACAACAAACATATTCAAATTAATGAATTAACAGTTCATCTCTGTAAAAACCAAAATAATGCAATGACCTTGTATGTAATCAATTTTCCAGAGTACAGAAAATTCATTATTTGGGTATGATCTTTGACGAACATTTAAGATTGAACTTGTATAATAATCTAGTAATGTAATTACACTACTGTATATCATTTTTTTTCTCTTAAATCAATTCTACTAATGAAACATATTTATCTCTGTATTAGACTGTATTCCAGTATGGTATGATATGAGGTGGTCTCTCAGAAAATAATTTAAAACCACTTAAATTACAAAATAATCAGAATTTGACTGAACAAACAGCTTTGTAAGTTCTACTAAAAAAACTATAGAATTCGGAGTTTTGCCAGTAAAACTTGTGCAAACTAAATTCAAAATTGTATGGGTGAAAAAAAGTATTAGAAATAATTGATATTCTAAAGATCAAATAGTAAACAAAAGAGAATGTAGAGTCTACAATTTGACAGTAAATTATGTAAATACAACTTTTGGTCAGAGATTCTTAGACTATCTTGATCCATTCTGTTTTAATAAAATAGACCTGGAAACAAAAAATAATAAATGCTCTAAATCTAATAACTCTACTAAACAAATTGTAAATAAGTGGCTACTATCAAACCTAAAAAATAATTATTCTGATTAATATACAAAAATCTAATCTTATATCATATAGCTACCATTTCAATTACAAAAATATCTGTATATTTTACGTATTCCATGTGCTCTTTATATTTAGTTTTAAAATTATGTAAACAATGTTATCTTATATTTAAATAATTGTATTTTGTACATGAAAATCTTGATTACTGTTTTTAATTCTTGTAATTTGCATGTATAAATTATCTTAACTCTTTATCTCCTCCACAAGCATACTTAATGGAGATGGATAAATCGTCAGAACCTTTATAAACATTTTTAATTGATATGTATATCTGTTTTTCGATTAATAATAATAAAAAAAAAATATGTAGTCTACCCACAGATACATAATATATCACAATATCTAATTTAATGTTCTAATATCTGTTAGTCTACCTTTTTAGTCTGATATACAAATATCTACAGACTAAGAAATATAAAAATATTGATTGGTTATAATTTATTACATATAGAGTATGAGTTTGGAGGAGCAAAACCAAATATCTAACCACAATCAGTGTAATAATCACAAGGTTGAGAGTTTTAAGTACCAAGGATCTCTTATACAAAAGAACAATGGCTTTGACGAGGATGCGAAATATAAGATTTGGTTTGGTTAGATAAAGTGAAGAGAAACATCAGGTGTTTTATGTGACGATGAAATTCCAATAAAAAAAAAAAAAAAGTAAGTTCTATAAAATTCGTGAAAACAATAAGGATGAGTACATATGAGGTGGCATCGACAGTAAACAAAATGTAAGAAAATAGATTGAGATAGTTTGGGCATGTCATAGAGATAGAGGAAACTAAAGCACTAAGAATTGTAATGAAAATAAATGTAGGAGAGGCGGGAGATCAGGATAAGAAGAAGTTTAGAACAATGGTTGATGGCGCCAAATAGTTTGGATAAAAACAAAGAAAATGAAAAAGAAGACCCGTAGTGAGTGCACATCATACCTCTGTAAACTTTAAATTACATTAACTATATTCAAAATACAAACAATAAAATAAAATGTTAAAAATGTATGTATTACTGAATAATAAACGTACTAATTTTGAAATTGATAAAATGTTGCCCTTAATCTACTCATTAATATAATTTGAATTTTAGCTATTAATCTAAATAATCATGTATGGGATTTCACAAATTATCTTTATTTTAAATGAGCGTTTGTTTTGAACCAGAGGATGTGGTCATGTCTGGTGTTTATTATTATAATATGTTAACCATCATTGATGGTGGCTAGAGGTTGATGGCTGACATCGGCAGAGCACTATTAGAATAATAAGTTATATTTTATATTTTTGTAATAGATGACTGCATCTATTTTGATTTGCCTCCTCATAACATGCACAAGCCATCTTAATTTACTTTTCTAATTCTATGTTTCACATCCTCGTTGACACATCCAATGTATCACTGCATAAATAATTATATATTATTGACTATTATTATACACAACTATCAATGTTCAAAATTTGTTAAGTTATTACTTGAGCTTACTATAGAAAAAAACCACAATAAATATTATGAAAATCTTCAGAAATTACATTAGATTATGAAGTGCCATATAAAGCCACATTTATTTTCATTTTATAAAATACTTATTATATGTATAAACCACACATGAATTCTAATTTTATTTATGAGCAATAATTGTATAACATGTACACATGTTTTATTTACCTACCCGTGATAAATTGTTATATGGTCATTCCTATTCTACAATCTATAATGGTAATCATAAAAAGTTCATATTGCATAAATGATAAGTTTTAAGTTCTAAAAAACTTTGATACATAGGTATAATAACATAATTAATAAATTGTATAATACAAACACGTCATTGTAATTGTATTTATTTACATAACAAATTTAATAAATAAGAAACAACTATATTTCCAAATGTGTAGCCTTAACTCTTACTAATAGGTTTAACCACAGGTTTTTTACAAACATTAGCAGGTCCTTCATTAAATTCATAAGGTTTGTCATATCCTAATATACGCTGATAATGCATGACATCAACAAAAGATTGTGGATCCACAAAAAAAGGGTATTCTTTTGCATAAAATGTAACTGTCAATTTCTGTGACATAGGTAATCTTACATGATGAGGTTTGAACTGCACCTGAAATCATATTAAATTTTGAATTTAAATTTGTGTTCATAATTAAAAAAACAAATAATATGGTCATTTATTTAAAACAACTTTTGTTAGATAAAATATGTACAATTTTATAAATGTATATAATCAATAGTTAAATGATATTAAAAGGTAAATACTAGAAACTAAATTATAATAATAAAATGAATAAGTAATATTCGCATGTAAATGTTTTTAATTTTTTGTAATTATGATATAAAATATTCATCATTAAATTAATCTAAAAATGGATAATTACATTAAAGTCTCACACTTTTTTTTTAACAAGCCCAACTTCAGTAAATACAAAAAATAACAATATTTAATTTTTTATAACACGATATCAAAGTTCAGTATTACCAATAGAAGTATACAAATTTAGATAATAGTTAACTTATTAAACATTGCCCAGAATACTATTAAATGCAACAAACGTTCACAAAGAATACATTTTAATCTAACTTTCTAATTTAATTTTCGAGCAACGCGACATGTATTATCATAAAATTGACATTTTATTATGAGTAACAACAGAACTAATCAAATAAAATATTTGAAAACTATATTTTTGCAATTTGACACGTCAGTCTCTTTATAGTAGTTACTTGTGGTTTTTCTAAATCATAATATATTTATTTTGTATTACCGTATTTTATTTACTTAGGTACCTACTATCTATTGTACTTTTGTATTTAAAATGACAAACAAAAAAAGGAAAAAATGTAAATTGTATACAGTTTATGTGAATATGAACAGTCAACCTTTTTGGGTCCACGGCTTTTCTGATTTTGAAAACCAAATTAGCGGCTTTCTTACAAATAATGATAATAAAAATTAAAGTAAACAAATTTACTGTATTACTGTACAATATTTACTATAGACTCAGCTCCCTTGGCAATAAATCACAAAGCCCCTAAGAGCCGCCACGCAAATGTTGAAAACCGCTGAATTATACCAATGTATCAGATGTTTTACTATGAATTAATTAAAATGAATAATTTTGTATCCGTTATTTAAAATACCATTAAATAATTAAATTAAGAAAATTGTAAAAACAAGTACTAAGTTTTTCATAGTTAATACAGCTAGTATTGTAGTACAACTAGAAAATAATAATAATAATACTGTATCAAATGAGATCTAAGTTCTTAAGCAAGCTCACATATTATAGAATATTTTTTATTTATACAAATATAAGTATTTGCATTTGTTATTTAAACTTTTATTTAAAAACATTTACCTATATTGATATTAATTGTTTGAATTTGTATTTAAATAAAATAATGCCCAAATAAGCTGAGTATATCATGTATACTCTACCTTGGTCGCAAATAGACTGATACAACACGTATAATAAATCAAGGAAAATTGATAATTTGATAATCATACAAATAAGTGCATTTCTTAATAGTCCTATTCAGCACTAATAAATTATATTAAATTAGAATTACTCACTTTTATAGGTTTTAAAAAAAATGAAAGAACACTAGCCATATACTCGTCATTTTCTTTATTGTACTCAACAGATGTCACATATTTTCTGGTTACCAAATGAATAAGTACTGGTGTGATAAAAGTAAAAACACCAGTAATGACGCATACACCAATGGTGGCAGCCAAACTAGTACCGATCTCTGAAGCTTTTTGCAGTAACATTGGCTGTACACAAAGTCCTACTCCGCTAGTCATAAATGACACAATTTTCAAATTACGTATACGAGGACCCAACGTTCCTTTATAGACATTTTGCCACTTTATGTCTTTGGTCTGAACATTGACACTGTGGGCCTGAGAATCTGTTGTCAACTATAACAGGGTAAACATAGATATTACAATGAGTGAGAAAAATTTACTTTTTTGAAAACTTACGTATTGGTTAGAGACTATTACCGGTTTGGTATTTACTTTGTATTTGTTCAAACAATTTCTGAAGTGTGGTACCAGACACGTACGAAATGTAATTGAATACATGGTTACGATGTAAACCTGTAACGTCGGAAGGATTTTAAAAACGCATAAATAAAATACAGAAAATGTAGACACAGACTATTCGGTAAATCAATTTTACTCACGGCTCATGAGACATATTTTAACGTGATAACGGGGTAGAGTACTAAAGTGTTACCATTTTGCCGGCTAAAATATCGAACATAATATACAATCGAGTATGCAATAGTGTACGTTATTATCAAAATTTTAAATTTCAAATTTCAATGTTACGTTTTACCGTAACACACGGATTTTTATCCGTGGTTTCAAAAGAAACCACAAAAGTCGTGTTTTAAATCGCCAACACTCATTATTGGTCACGTACCACATTGTGTTATCGTCAATTCGTCAACCGGGTTTCATTTGATAAATATTCAGTTTCCGTTTAGCACGGATCAACTCGGATTTTCGTTTGTAAACCGTGACGCACGAATATTACTATAAAATTACTATAATTGGATTCGTTGTTAATCAATATTAACGTCGAACATAATACGGTGGTACGCGCGCCTTTAGACGTATTCGAATACGGACGGGGTAGTTTCTTTTTTTGGATCCGCCTTTGACGGCGCCGCGTATAATTCCGGACGACGCGTGCGCGATATTGTGCCGTAACGCGAGCGTTGCGTACGCATTCGGCAGTATTAAACGGAAGAAAAAGAAATGCGTCGTGCCAACCGGAAACATTTTCGGTCACTCCACTGTCGGCGGCGATCGCGACGCGCTCACGGACGCAATACGAGTGCTAAACCTACGGTACTTGTCCATTTCGGGCCTACCGTTACCGTGGCAAACGTTCATGAACCGGAATTGTGAATTATACGTGTATAATACCTATATATACATTTTTTTTTTGTCTACACATAATTATTAATTATAATGTACACCGAATGTTTTTGTAATGTTAATACATAATAAATAATGATCGTTCACGATTACAAAGCGCTGATTAAGTTTGACCGGCTGGCTTGGCTTCGACTGAATATGAGTAAAATGAGTTATGAACTATTGATTATTTCTTATCGAGTTTACAAATTTATTGACAATAAACCCCTAGTAACCTCGAATTATCAAATTCCTTTATCTATTGGATTTATGTCGAGATAATACGCGCGTAAATATCGGACACAGTTCGCTGTTTACGGTTTTTTGTTTATTGTTCGGTCCACGGTGGACGAAGTTTATGGGTAACATATTTAGCACAATATTCCATCCATAGTATACGATCTAATACCCAAGATATTGTGTGAACACATTAATCCGATCGATAATTCTAGGGTCAAGACTTCAAGAGTATATTTTTTAACCGTCAAGAGTCACTGATCATTTATCAAATTGACATGTGAACCAAACTGCCAAATACTCACGAAAATCTGTATTACGATTATAGAATAAACCAATTCAAAAGTATAACATTACGAATTAATAATGATATGAAAGTATGTATATTTTTATAAGTAATTAAAAAACAAAACGTTTTCTATACATTTATTTATTTATTTATTGCATTATATAAATTAACATTTTTTTTTTTATTTAGTACCTAATGTACAAAATAAATGGTTATTAAAGAATTCCAGAAAACAAATTATACTTATTGTATTAAATTAGAGGGTTCCAGAAGTTTTTGATAATCAGTAGATATGTATATTGGCACTTAAAGTGAGGGTTCTACATAGAACCCTTCCCGTAAAACATCTTTTTGAAAACATCTTTGGTATGTATTTCTGGATTTAATTTGACTGTGTCCATTTTAATTCAGTTGTCTTGGAATTTTTTAAAAAGTTGTATATTGGGTCCTGAGGTTGAACTAAATTTCTCTTCAAAAACACTCAAGCTACGTTATTATAAATACTTAATAATGCAACAAATACATAATAAAAATAGTCATTTTTAGAAAAACTATAAAAATGTATACTGATCAATATATGCACCTATTTCAATCTTTGTCCTTGTTTTAATTGAAGTTATGGAATTGTTTGTAAATATTTTTTTTTTTAATATTTTAATTTTCTATAAGTTTTGTAATTTGAACATTTTGATAATTTCCAATAATTATTATAATATGAGGAATTAATAAAAATTCACCCTCTTGAATGAAGTTTTAACCTTCACGTTTTAGAATTGAGGTAGTGTAACTAAATTTTCAACGTATTGTTTTTTTTATGGATAGGAACCAAATTTTAAGGTGATGCATTAAAAATTACATAAAAAAAAATCCTCTATAATTAAAAACCGCCTTAATATTTATCTTTTTATCCAGATTTTTATCTAATGATATGTATATCTACTCTTTCTAGGATTAAACTTTGGCAGGCCCATACTGTCTCACTGAAACGCCCAGATGTTTCCTAATACCCTTTATGAAACTCTTAATATTAATTTGCGCCCCTTAAGAAAAATTTAAATTTAGTAATGAATTCTAACTATGTAGGTTCCTATTAAAATTAAACATAATATTTTATTATTCCAATTTTAGAACACGTTAATACAACAATAAGTATGTGGGTATTCTTTCTATTTATTAGAACTTATAAGTTTGTACATCTTATATGAGACAAATTTGTATGTTGGAGTTACCTTAACACTAATCCTTACCATACTTAAACTTGCATTTTTTTATTAGTAATTGAATTTCTTCTTAACTGAATTTATAAATATTTTAAATGGTGTTTTATTTAATACTTTGTTATGAAAATCAAATATTTAAAATTATATTGTGATTTTATGTTTAGGCTAATATTGGTCATTCAAGTTGATGTAGCAATCACCCAGTACCCATATTACAGCAAATTGGAAGTTATTATTTGCATTACTCCAATTTTTTTCAAATGGTGAACATAAATTGTAAAGAAGTAATCATTTAAGAAGATAATTATATCAAAATTATTACAATTCTTCAAAGTTCTAAACAAATCAAGAATACAGAATCTTCCATTAACAAACTAGAATCAATGATTGGTTATAAATCATATTGTACTAGTATACCTTCTGTAGGCAACATATGGAATGTAATTTTGACAAAACCAGATATATTAAAAATTTTTTACGTACAAAATATAAATGACGCTAAATTTATTCAACAAATGTGTTCAAGACTCGATGAATTAGATGAAAAAAAATCAAAACCTTTGATAGATACAGTACACGTAGGACAATTAATTGCTGCTTCTTATGTTAATGGTTCATGGTATAGAGCTAAAGTTATAAAAAAAGATAATTTGGGACTATATGTATGTTTTATCGATTTTAATGATGACGTTGTATTTGTGACAGATTATAGAATTCTTCCTGAAGAACTTGTTGATGTAAAACCAATGGCTTACAAATGTTATATTAATTATTCATCAAGAGTAATTGAACAAATATTTTTAAATTCTGATTTCAATAAATTGATTACAACATTTTTAAGCAATAATGAAATGGCTATTAAGTTTATAAATAAACAAGAGCCATACGTTGTTACATTATCGTATAATGGCAAAAGAATTGTTGACATAATATCAGAGTTATTCTGGGAAGGAATTATGCCTGGCATATTAGATGACCCAATAAATCTAAAAAGACTTATTATGTTGAATAAAATTAATTTATTTGATGACATAGAGGTTGTAAAAATTAAACCCATCATATCAACTGAACATTTTTTTATTGAACTAAAATCAAATAATAAACTTCGTACAAATATTAGGGATAGCATTAAAAACGAGAAAAATTGGATTCCTATATTAAATCCCAAAGATGGTGAATTAGTAATTGCAAGAAAAAATAAAGAATCAAAGCTATATCGTGCAAGAAGTATATTGAAATGTGCAACCGGTATAGAATATAAATGTTTTTTAATAGACTGTGGGAGATTTGAAAATTGTTCAGAATTTTTTGAACCTAACATTTATTTACAATCAGTTCCACCAGTTAAAATACACTGTTCATTAAAATTGTCAACAAAATGCAGTACTAATTTATTAGAAAGTATTAGTCTTGGTTTTATTGATGAAATTAATAATTTTAAAAACGATATGAAAAGTGTACAGTTCACTAAAGTTGGTAGCCCATGTAAAGTTAACATTAAAATAAATGGTCTTGAACTCAGAGAGATTATTAAGCCATACAATGTAACTATAAGTCATGCTAATAATATCTTAGATTTAAACTATTTTAAAGCTCGTATGGTTTCAAGTGAAGTTGAGCGTATGAAACAAATTTTAAAAAGTACAGTCAATTTCTCTAAAGTAACTAATCCGCAAATATTCAATATATATGTGGCCAAACATAAAAATCATTATAAAAGAGTAAAATTGTTTTTCATTTATGATAATTATTATGAAGTGAAATTGGTGGATGGCTCAAACATGAGAGTCCCTGTTAAAGAACTATACAAACTTCCGAAAAGTCTAGAAAACATTAAAATATTGGATATATATTGTTCTCTTGGAATAAATAAAACAAAATATTCTAATGAGAAGTTGTCTGCTCTTTCTAATAATGGAAAAACCATATTTTCAATGGTTGTTATTAAACATAACAATGAAAATGGTCATTTGGTTAAACTTTTTTTAAATTCAAAAGATGTTGAAACACTGATTGCTCTCTAATTTTAATGACAAGTTTTTTTCGTGGTTCTAATTTTTTAGTAAAATTTAAGATATTAAACCTAATATCTCGTGATTTTTAAAGAAATAATGTAAATGTGAGTTTTTTTTTTAATTGTTATTATTATTATTTATCAACTGTGTTTTTAAATAAATTTAATTAATCTTTCTGGATTACAGGCTTTAAAATAAAAAATAACAATTGTAAGGTAAATATTTTTTATATAAATAATTGATAGACTGATAGATTACACCTCACACCTTTTGATTTGTATTTTTATTTTAGGAATCTTACATATTAATACAAATTTTGTTCATAAATATTACTATTTTTTATATAGGTTGTCCCACGAAGATGTACTCTTTGAATATCTACGGAGATTATAAAGATAATCAAATTCTGTTTTGTATATTACTCACAGGGAAGAAGACTAAAATAATTATAATTACATTCAAATTTTTAGAAAAATAATCTACGGAATGGTTATCTTAAAATTTTCCAAAAAAAAAAAAAAAATTAATTCAAATATAAATAATAAAGTAATAAAGTAAAAATAAAATTATTAAATGGTTAATACTCGTAAATAAATAACATATAAATAAAAATAAAAGATGCTATAATACCACATGATTCTAATCACTTTTATTCTCAAAAAATATCATTTTTTAATTCAATATTCTATAAACTTGAATGTAATTCATTAAATAAACATAATTATCAACACAAACTCAATATTATCTATAATATAGCCCATAGAAATAATTTGAAATTAAATACATTAAAAAAATTCATGAACGTATTAAAGAAAAAATAATACACAACTCTCCAAATAATGTTGTTAGCCATTGTAGTATGAAATATCAAAATAATAAGTTTAACCAATTCGCTAAAATTTTGAACAATAATACAAATAATGTAAAAATCGCTTTTAAGACTAATAATAATTTGATCAAACATATAAACAATAGAACTAAAAACTTCACAGAAAATAATCCCCCTTCTTTTAAAAATGCCAGTATATATAAACTTAAATGTTACTGTAATAAATTGTATATAGGTAAGACAAATAGAAATTTTAAAATAAGATATAAAAAACTTATTTCTGAAATAAAATTAAAAAAGACTACCCCTAATTCAAATTCTGCTAAACAAGTTTTAGAAAATAACCATATATAAGCTTTGATATTAATACAGACTTGGAAATATTAAATACCCAAAATAACATTTACATTAATTCAGTTTAAGAAAAATTACCCAACCATTGAAGTAAAGAAAAATAATTTTAATAATATTTTAAATGTTCAAACCGATTTTAAAAATGATATATTATATCAATACATTTTATATAATAAATAATAACAAAATAATTTATATTTCTTAATATATCTATGTTTAATAATAACTAATTTTAAATAATCTTTCTTATTAAAATAAATAATTTCTATATTCTATGTAAAATGACCAATTTGTATAATTTTTTTTTATATGTATTTCTTTATTTAATTTTTTATAATAAGTCACGTTTTACATTTTGTCCGTGTTATACCTAATGATAAATTTTTAATTCGAAACCAGTTGTATAATTTATCATAATGCTCCAAGAGATGCATTTATTATTTTTTTTTTTTATTTTTATCTTTATATTTGTATTTACGTATTTTTATATTATATTCAAATATAAATATTTATAGTCCTCTTCCTTGTGAGTAATATAAAAAAACAGAATTTGATTATCTTTATTACCTCCGGAGATATTCAAGAGGTATATCTTGATGGGACAGCTTGTATTTAATGGATATTTAATAATCTATTTTAATATTTTTATCATAATGTTGTTAATTCAAATATATTCTTTAACTAAATTTTGTAAATGGACTTTGGTTTTATAATCTATTTTTTGCATATCTATCTTTTTCTGTTATAAGATTCGGAGCATAGTGATAGTACATTAGAAAGGTAATGTTTTGACTTTCTATTGGTTTTTCAAAATAATTGGGAAAAATCAAAAACAAAATTAGAGGTAAAACGACAAATAATTTATGGCGTGCTGTGCCGTGCCATTATCAATTTTATTGTTTTTGATTTTTGCAAATTATGTTGTCTACCAGAAATATTGCTCCAATAAAAAAATGACAATAAACCTTTTCTGTTACATTTTGGATCTAATTAATGAGTAATAATGTTTCATGATTTTCTCTGTATATTTTTAATAATTGAGCCAAACCGAAAAAAACTGGAAATTTTACAAAAATAATTTTTTTCTCATTTCCAAATTTGTATTTTAGTTGTAATTCAGTTTAAAATATTTGTAAAGACTTGTAGATTTTGACATTTTACTTATATTTCCTTTTTCTAAATGTGGTAAAATATTCAAAACATTGTTGAATTATTGATAGACAATTTAATTTTGTAAGTTTATTAGGGAATAACTTAACTTAAGTTACAAGTTACTGTAACAAAATTATTTTTTAAGTAATTTGATGGTAAGGTGTTAGGTTATTGAACGTTTTTCAGTTGACTGGAAATTGATAATTCAGTAATTTATTGTAAGGACATAGAAAAATGTTTTGACACAGTTAACTTGATATCAATAAATCAATAAAATCCCATGTAATCTAATCGTAAAAATTATATTTTCAATTTGCTTGGACATAATCCATCCAAATCAGAATCATCCCTTATGCTTGTGCTTATATCTATCTACCTATAGTGATAGAAATTACATTTATGAATGTAACATTTAATGTTAATTGGTTTGATTTTGGATTATTGACTGATAACACTTGTGTGCATCTTTTATCAATGAAACAGCGATGAGTAAACTGTAAACTTTATTAGATACTATACTGCATTTCCTGTATCCGCTCCCAAAAAAATGCCTAACAAAATAATAATATACCTCTAACCATATGGGTAGTAGGTTTATTAATTGATTAGCCTTGAAACTAACTCATTATGAGTATCTCCAATTTTTAGTTCATTAAATTTAAATTATATTACATTTAGATTTTTTTTTTTTATAGTAGTACCTATGTATTGTTATAAATATTAATGGTAGTTTAACTAATTGTTAGTAAAAAAAAAGTTGCTTATACTGCTTTGGTTGTAGGTATCCCATATAGTATGTAGAGAGTTTATAATAAAATAAAACAAAATATATACAATTACTATGCCTTATATTATAATATGATTAATTGACATTTATACATTGTACATTAGGTACTTATCACTATTTTCGTAGTAGATACTTAGCAATATCCAAGCCGAGGGGCAGAGCAGAAAAGTCCGAACTCCCAAAAATGTATGAAATGAGATCGAGTACTACCGAATTTGGTTCAAAATTTCCTTTAAACTTCACAACTTTTACTACTATCAATCGAAAAGTGTCTTACGCATACCCATAAAAAAAAAAAAATTAACTTCTAGACATTTTACTTGACAACTTCTCAATTTCAACTGTATCGAGTAAATATGGGATGCTTTACTCCATTTCTCTGTATCTGGGCCCAAACAACTGTGGACAATAAAATACTGCTCTGTAGGAAATTCGAACCCTCCTCAGAGGACTGCCGGGGGTCTAGGGACGGTGCCCCCATCTAGTTATATTATAAACTTGTATTAAAATTGTGTACTGTAAAGAGGGAAAAATACATTTGTTAAAAAAATCTGTTTTAAAAAAAAAATTATTATTCGTTTATTTTAGATAGATAAGTATATATTTATTATTATTTATTAGATTTATACTTTAAAATCAAAAGTTCATGTAATTAACGAACTCTTAATAATCGAAAGCAAATCAGAGATTGCATCCAGGAAGACGTAGTTAGTTCATTTATACACAATTAGATCTGACGATTGAAAACGTGACTGGTATTTTTATTTTTTAAATTTAATATCAGTAATTAATATGTAAAATAATATTTCAAAATAAATGAGTTTACCTGCGTAACTACCTTTATATAATCATATTATATATTCTAATCTACATAAAATGTCGTTTTGTCAATAAAACGTCGCACCATAATTTGATTGTATTAACTGTTTTTAATATTCTCATGCTTCTCATATTAGAATTATTACCAAAATCCCATATCGCATAAAACAACTATTTATGTCGTAGCGTCTTTAATTTTTCCTTGACATAATTATTACTGAGTTAAAGTTATCTTTTATTTAGTTTTTCATTTATCAATTTACTTATTAGAAGTTATTGGATAATAGATAGTGCTATCGGAATAATAATCATGATTTATAAAAAAATTCTTCCTTGTGTATTCTGACATTGTCGTAATTATATCTACTTTAAATATGGTAAAAGAAAAGTTTTCTCAAGCGAAACGGTTTTTCATATAGATTTTAATTTTTCGGTATCGTGATTACACACAAAAAAATACTTTGTGATAATGAAATGGCACTACGACACTCGCACATTTATTTGTAAGTAAATTCGATTAATTATTCATTATTTATGAATTGATAAATTTCAATTTTTTTCAAGCATTTCGTTAAAATTGCAACGAAACAAAACAACATGAATAGAGACAATCTAATAATCGGATTACATGACGTCGGACTTCAAGAACGACTCTTTAAAGAACCGTGACTAGACTTGGATAAAACTGCCAATGTTTGTAGAACATCAGAAGCTAGTCGGCAACAGGCTAATGTGATGCAGAATCAAGCAAATAAACAGGTGTCCAATTCAGATGAGCAGATAGATGCTATATAATCATGGAGGAAACCAAAGAAATCTTCCGCAAAAAACAAGCAGGAACGTAGTTGACAATTCAAACAAATACAAATGTAAAAAGTGTGGGTATAATCATGAATTTAAAAAATGCTCGACATTTAATAAAGCCTATGCAAAATGTGATGTAAAAAATCACTTTGCTAGTGTTTGTAAAACAAAAACTGTAAAGAAAAATATTAATACTCTATTTAATGTTGAAAATGTAGAAACTAGTGAAGTATTCATCCATTCCTTAGTGATATCTATCTTAAATCATGGTATGAGGAATTAATATTAAGTGAAGTAGGGACGCAAAACAATATAGTTAGTAACATCAAATTTGATACTGGAACTGAAGCTTCTGTATTACCCAGACATATCCTGTATAAGATAAATCCTAATATTAAAATAGGGTACTCTAAGATAACGTTAAAAAGCTTTGGCAATCAAAGAATTATACCTGTAGGTGAAGTTGAATTAAATCGTTATTTGAGTAATAAGGTTGAAGGTAATTAAAAAGTAAAATTTATAGTGTTGATATAAATAAGACTTTATCTCGTATACTAGGTTTAGATGCCTGTGTAGCAATGCGTTTAATAAAGAGAGTAGACACTCTGAGTAAAAATTGTCAAATAACGAGTTAGTATCAATAAAAAACAAGTCTTCTCACGAGTTAATGGGGAAATTAAAGTCTATGTTTGCAAGGTCTAGTGTACCAGACACAACCATAGCAGATAAATTGCATTCAGTAACAGTAAGTTTAAAGAGTTTTTAGAAACTAAGAACTTCAGCATAAAGACTACTAATCCCAATTATGCGCAGTCAAACGGATTTGCAGAAATGTTTATAGGTATTTGTAAAAAAATATTATAAAAGTGTGTATTAACTGGTAGTAGTCCGTTAGTAGCCTTATTAAAATATCGTAATACGCCTATTAGTTAATTAGAGTTGACTAAACAAGCTAAGCTGCTAATGTTTAGGAGGCTTCCAGTTGTGTTTAATTCATTAAAACTAAAACAAAATAATGAGTCGCATGTTAAAAACCGTCTAAAAAGAAACAAAATTTACAAACACACTATTGAATTCAGCTCAGAATCGTTTTTTCGTTAGCAATGGTTTATCGTTGATTACAGATATACATTAAATTCCCTTCTGTATCTTACCTTCCCAATTTCCTATCTACAACAGTGGCTGCATCCACGTGCGAAGTATGTCCGTCTTTTTCAATTTTATTTTTCGAGATAATACCAGTAAGTTACATTTTATAAAAACCAATCGTTCTGTTTCTACGTTTCTTTATACACTTATAGTCGTCTGCAATATTTTGATGTAGGTGCCTACCGTTATTCATACTTTTGGAATGTATATAATAATAGTTCATTTAATTATGTAACGTTTATGAAATTAAAAACTTCACGAGACGTATAGATAGTTATTAGATAATAATATTATATAGGTAATAGTAATACCTACCACCCGGTTTTCAACTTATAGCATCTGTATCATTATATTATACTATACTTTTCACTGTTCAGCAATCGTGTGTATACGCGAGTAGAGAAGTGCAGTGGACTATGTATAGAGCAACTGTATAAATTATTGGTTTGAAAAAAAAAAAATAATAACAAACCTAGTTAGGTACCTATACGCTATTTTATATTAATATATACCTTATGTCCTATTATAGACTGTACTTCATTAAAACTAGTCCAAGTGATTATATCATTAGTTAATTTAAAGCGGTTAATATATAGGATGCTGTACCTATGTTTATACGATAAGATATTATGAAGATGCAACTCGAAAACAACTATACGAGTACATACATAGACACGGAGTGATTTTTTTTATCATGAACAAGCAGTGTTTTCTTGGAGGGTTTTTAGTGTATTTGCAGATTTCTGTTTTTTTTTTCATCATAATAGAAACGGAATAGCTTTATTTTAAAACCATTTAAATTTTTTACCTCTAATTCATATAGGTACTATACGTTAATAAGTATATACTTTTTTTTTTCAAATAGAAACCAATTATTGAATCCAGATTTGAATAGAAAATATTTTT